TCAAAAAGGTATCTATGTAATTATATAATGAACTTTTATACAGAATGTATTAAGTATTTTAAATCATTCAGCCATCTCGAAAACTGAGCTTGGCAAGCAAAACTGTTTCAACTAATAGTTATATGGCATAAGGCAGGACAAAAATAATAAAATCAATTTTTTTTTAAATTAATTTTTCAAGGTCACATAAAGGTCATTATCATTTTTTAAATAAAGCTTATGATTTTTTAAAAATATAATATCCCTTTAATTATTCTTTTACTATATATAAAAGTAATAAAATATTAGAGCAACAAAAATTAATTTTGCGATATTTTATTCTGGCACATCTGACATGAAATAAAATATCTCGTAAATTTTTGATAGTTGTATTTTAATATTTTTAGGCATAAAATAATGAGATGAATTAATTGTATGTAAAAAAAACACATGGATGCTTTTGAAAACATAAAATTAATCAATTGGTGTAATAAAACCATATAGATACTTTCGAAATAGTTTAGTAATTGCAATTATATAATAATATCGTATAATTTTAGCATTAAAACCTAAATCAATTTTCGAGTTAATTAGCATTCGATAAACTATTCCGGATAAAAACAATAATTTTGTGACTTTATAACTTACAATAGAGCACATTATACTAATTGTAATGGGCCTTCTACAAAAAATTGACGACCGTGATTGGTTAATTTTTAACTTCTGATTTATGACTAATAACTTATTGTAAAAGATCCATAAGTTGTATCAAGATTCTTAGAAAATCGAAAATGATATAGAGATAAATGATGCTTTCCAGCAAGACGCAATGAACATTTCATCTTTAACAGTGATAAAAAAAATAAGGATAAAAATCAATAAAATCAATAAGTTCTAAAGAAAATTCTAAAAAATAATAAATCAAATGCCAATTTGAGCCAACACTGGTTATTAGTGTGTATTTTTATAACATTTATTCAAAGTAAATATTAAACGTACGACCTACAGCCAAGGTCCTCTTCAATACAAAAAAAATATATTAACAAAATTACATAATGATAGCGCATACGAGTATAAACTAATCACATATAAAATGTGAGAAAAACCGTGGTGGTGATGTCCGAGTTAATCTTGGTCATTAAATTAACTAAAAAGAAAAATATTTTTTGTTTTAAAACGACCGACCGAAAGGTTAAAAGTAATTAAAAAAAAAACTAACATGAGATTATACGCGAAAAATGGTAAAAAAAAACTTACATGACTGTCAAGACTGAACTGCCTCTATGAGGTTTGTTGTACATGTTCCATTTACTGTGTAATATAAATGCGAATAAATTAAAAAGCTATGTAATTTTGTTAATGTATTTTTTTTGTACTGAAGAGGACCTTGATGATAGGTCGACACGAATAAATTATAAAAATACATACTAATAACCAGAGTTGGCTCAAATTGGCATTTAATTTATTATTTTTTAGAAACAACAAGGATGTAATGATTCATACTGTATTACACTGTATCATTTGTATCTTTCCTTGGAAAACACCCAAAAACGTTTGGAATGAGACATGTAACTCTAAAAATGACTCGTGCCAATTCTATCAATGCCATCAATCCACGTCAAATGGATGCATTTTTTTCTTCTAATTATCTATAACACAAATAGACAGCTGTGATAATCGCGGTTACTATTATCGAAAGAAGCGATTAAGCCATTGCATCACCAATTGGCATTGTTCAAGAAAGGCTCTTCTGAAAATCAGAGCATTTATTTTTCGATCAATTGATCGCGGTCACATCTCTAGCAGTCCTTCGTTGTAACAATTTCCCTCCGGATGTGAAACTAGCATTTCGCACGATCCCAAAAATGTATTCGGAATGGTCGAACAATGGCTAAGAGCCAGGGTTAAATGCATTACGTAAGTCGCTATCTGACGTAAGTCACGCGGACATCTGACTGAAGGGTATTCAACGACAGACTAAAGAGAACAAAGCATCACGAGTCTGCCGATTTTCCTTTCTCATAAATACATGAATTCCATCGTGATTTAATACTATTTCTGGTTTTGCAAACAGGATTTACCGAGAGGCGAGCACGTGGTGGAATACCAATAGAGTCGGTGGAGACTTAAATTCGAAAAAGAAAAAGACGTTATCTACAATATGTGCACGTTATCTACAAAATATGCATTCGTTCGCTTGTACTCACCGTTTTTTTATGACAAAATAATTTAGCGATTTAACTTCAGACGACTGACCCAATCTGACCGTGAATGGCGTGAATACTAACCGCGAATGCGATGGCCCACCGGATCGATGTAGAATAAAATTACTGTACCTTAGTTCACATCGTGCACTTGATACGGGCACTAACTAGTAACTTTCTATTGAATTATCTTAAATTTTAGCGATATGTGTAAACATATATATGATATATGTATTTAATTAATCATTTTGATGTACATTGTATCGGTTTAATACATTATTCTTTAAATACATTGCTGAAATTAAGATAATTTAATAGAAAGTTACTAGTTAATACACGTATCAAGTGCTCGATGTAGTTCGGTTTTAAAGGGATCACTGGTTGGCAGTTGACTTCGGGCCAGTATTGCCAACTCACTGACACAATAAATCTCTAAATCAGAATTAAAAAATCTCATGAAATCTCCAATTTTCCACCAAAATATTTAAAACTTTTCACTATTTTAAAAAATTAAAAAATTTAGAAATCTTTAGAAATTTCCAGTTTTTTTTACCAAAAAGCTCAAAAACTTCCAATTTTTTTGGCAAGACTAATTATATTAAAGAATTTTATAACAGCTGAAAAGCTGCTTTTTCTGCTGAACGCAGCCAATAGGTGCATTCAGAAGCACGATT